TAGAAGAGTCTGCACACCGGGCATTCGGACGACATCCTTACTGAAACAGAGAATTGTATTTCAATTATTGTGTGTTTCTCCGTTTATATGCGTTAGCGTAACCGGTGATTGCAACAATGGGTTCGATGCTTCAATGCCTGGTACACGGACCAAGGGAGGACTTGGGTTACCACCGGGCTAAATGGTCCCACCTCCGCACCAACGCGGGGCTGGTGATGGCAACATTGGGTCCGATGCATCAATTCATGGTGCCCCGACCATGAGAGGGTTTGGGGTGCCCCGGAACCAGGCACTACCCCAGCAGGAAACACGTGTTATGGTCAAAGGAGGAAAGAGTGATAGAACCGGAGTAAAGCAAAGAAAGGGTCCGAAAATAGTGACTTGTAACCCGGGTAGAGAGTATGTCATCTCTCGGTCCTATCCTCCAGACAACATGGTAACGTGGGGATAAAAGTACCTCCGGGCGCTCCATCGGGGGGAGGAGGCATTGAACCCCTCACACCTGTCCCCGGAGGAGGCAAGGGAGTCAGGTACCCGGAGGGCGCACGGTGGACGGCCAGGGCGAGGCCGCCACACCGCGCTGGAGTCAGAGTTCCGAGTGTTGGAGCCGGGTCCCGGTGAAGCGCAGGACGGAGCACCCGGCAGGAGCCTCCAGCAGAGCCTCCAGCAGACCCCCCCGCGCGGTTCCCTCGTCCCTCGGAAGAGGCGGAGAGGTGGGTGTTTTTCATCTGCTGGCGGTCTGCCGGGGAGAACGCGCTGCTCGGGAGCCAGGCTCAGAGTGAGTGGCAGTGGGTGCCCGCGCACCTGCCTTTTACAGCGGGAGCACGAGCTGGTCTCGGGGAGGGAGAGAAGAGAGGAGCGGAGGCTGCCGAAACAGCCAGGGCCCTCCCCTCAAACACACCCCTACATTTTGACAAGACAAACAGCAAGAAGAGTCCCCTTTCGACTCCCCTTGCATTCCTCCAGAGACCAGTTTGGACTTAAAGTTAAGAACCAGGCTGGGGGGGTCTCCAGGCATCAGATATATCCGAGACATAGTGCACTTAGAGAGGGTACTTTCGTCCAGGGTATCAGACAGCCGTTTTTGTTTATTGTGTGGTGGACTGGCTGTCAGCACATCATAAAGTATTATTAGAAGCAGTGTCAGCTAGAAAATGGTCTGTCAATCCTTTCCGTGTCCGGGCTGGGTGATGTCGCCCGTATTGAGTCAAATTAAGCCGCAGGCTCCACTCCTGGTGGTGCGCTTCCGTCAATTCTCACACGCAGCACACCCTCCCGGCCATCAGAGTCGAACCCGCAGTTCGGAGGAACCGACCGCCAGTGCACCGGCACGAGGCCGGGCCGGCGGAGGCCCTACGATGGCGGGTCGCGTTTTTCATTCGATCAGTGAGAAATCAGGAAAATACTCTGTTATATTTTGGGAGAACCAGAGAAAAGGGGTGAAAATGGAGAAATTGTAACCCAAAATAGTGTCTCTTAAGGCAGATAGAGTCCCCTGACAACTCTCCTTACATTCCTCCAGAGTCAGGAAAAGTCTAAGTTATCTTTTGGGAGAACCAGAGGAAAGGGGTGAAAATGGAGAAATTGTATCCCAAAATAGTGTCTCATAATTCCCTGACAACTCCCCTTGCATTCCTCCAGAGACCAGTTCAAAAACTTAAAGTTTGGTAAGAACCATGATTGGGGTCCTCCAGGCAACAATTGTATCCGAGCCAAAGCACTCATGTAGCGGACACATTCCTCCATGATGTGAAACAGCCGTTTTTTTTCTCAGTGCTCTCAAAAACCGGGTTTCCGATTTTGTGCAGAAGGTTGCTTGGAAAAGATTAATTAATTTTTTCGACGGAGGAAGGGAGGTCTCGATTCCCCTCTGCGTTGTAAAATGCACCGGGGGAGTGAAAATGTGTCCGGGGCTTCCGCCGGAAGCGCCGAAGACTTGCGCTTTTTTGAGCCCCTCCTCCGTTGGCACTTAGCCGTTTATTTCGAGAATTTCGAAAATCATGAAATAGACCGGGCAAATCACCAATTTGTAGCCCCTCACAGAGCCCCAAATGACGGACTAAGCAGCTCCATAATCTCTCCCTAACATGCGCACTTCCATAACATCGCACACCGTGAGACCCCGGGCCCCCGGACTTAAGCACTCCCCCACGGACTAAACCCAGATGTTCACACCCTACAGAACCTCATGCCCCTGGTAACCTTAAAGGGGGGTGGATTTTGCTGTGCTTTACCGTCCGCCCATCGGCATCCATATTCGGCCTTATTCACAGCACCACCCACCCTCCTGTGGAGGATCTTCTCATGGCCCTGGTAACACTTAAAGGGGGGGTGGAGTTTGCGGTGCTTTATCGTCCGCCCACCAGCATCAATATTCGGCCTTATTCACAGCACCACCCACCCTCCTGTGGAGGATGTTCTTATGGCCCTGGTAACACTTAAAGGTGGTGGATTTTGTGATGCTTTACTGTCCGCACACCAGCATCAATATTTGGCCTTATTCACAGCACCACCCACCCTCCTGTGGAGGATGTTCTCATGGCCCTGGTAACACTTAAAGGTAATGGCTTTTGTGGTGCTTTACTGTCCGCACACCAGCATCAATATTTGGCCTTATTCAAAGCACCACCTGCCCTGCTGGAGGTTCACACTTTAACTTTTTTGTTTACCCTCCTCTGCCTTACACATTCTCCCACACTTGAGCACTCCTCACTCGGACTAAACCCCTCCATGCACACCCAGACTGCACCCAGAGAAAAGGCTGCTTCACAGCACTTTGCAAGCCAGGAAAAGTGATTGAATCCTGGGTATACATGTTTTAAATAGTCTGATACCTCCAGGGCGCATCACCACAATTTACAAGCCAGGGAAGGTGCCTGAATCCTGGGTTGTTTAATTGTTTAAGTGTTTTTAAATGTGTGAAAACAGTGTTTTGTCACTTTCAAAACTCTCCCGTCATTGACCGGAAAAATTGGGTCGATGTTGTCTTCAATCTGACCGTTAATATTCCAGTGAGACGAAGTACGTACAATCACCGGAGTGATCCCATGTTCATTTTGTCCCAATGCCGGAGCATTCCCTAACTATCAGGAAGTAAACCAACAGGAAGTACCTCTGTCAGGTGACTTCTCCAGCACCCTAACAGGAAGCAAACTATCAGGAAGTACCTCTGTCAGGTGACTTCTCCAGCACCCTAAGAGGAAGCAAACTATCAGGAAGTACCTCTGTCAGGTGACTTCTCCAGCACCCTAACAGGAAGTAAACCAACAGGAAGTGCCTCTGTCAGGTGACTTCTCCAGCACCCTAACAGGAAGTAAACTATCAGGAAGTACCTCTGTCAGGTGACTTCTCCAGCACCCTAACAGGAAGTCAACCAACAGGAAGTACCTCTGTCAGGTGACTTCTCCAGCACCCTAACAGGAAGTAAACCAACAGGAAGTACCTCTGTCAGGTAACTTCTCCAGCACCCTAACAGGAAGTAAACCAACAGGAAGTACCTCTGTCAGGTGACTTCTCCAGCACCCTAACAGGAAGTAAACCAACAGGAAGTACCTCTGTCAGGTGACTTCTCCAGCACCCTAACAGGAAGTAAACCAACAGGAAGTACCTCTGTCAGGTGACTTCTCCAGCACCCTAACAGGAAGTAAACTATCAGGAAGTACCTCTGTCAGGTGACTTCTCCAGCACCCTAACAGGAAGCAAACTATCAGGAAGTACCTCTGTCAGGTGACTTCTCCAGCACCCTAACAGGAAGTAAACTATCAGGAAGTACCTCTGTCAGGTGACTTCTCCAGCACCCTAACAGGAAGTAAACCAACAGGAAGTACCTCTGTCAGGTGACTTCTCCAGCACCCTAACAGGAAGTAAACCAACAGGAAGTACCTCTGTCAGGTGACTTCTCCAGCACCCTAACAGGAAGTCAACCAACAGGAAGTACCTCTGTCAGGTGACTTCTCCAGCACCCTAACAGGAAGTCAACCAACAGGAAGTACCTCTGTCAGGTGACTTCTCCAGCACCCTAACAGGAAGTAAACTATCAGGAAGTACCTCTGTCAGGTGACTTCTCCAGCACCCTAACAGGAAGTCAACCAACAGGAAGTACCTCTGTCAGGTGACTTCTCTAGCACCCTAACAGGAAGTAAACCAACAGGAAGTACCTCTGTCAGGTGACTTCTCCAGCACCCTAACAGGAAGTAAACCAACAGGAAGTACCTCTGTCAGGGGACTTCTCCAGCACCCTAACAGGAAGTAAACCAACAGGAAGTACCTCTGTCAGGTGACTTCTCCAGCACCCTAACAGGAAGTAAACCAACAGGAAGTACCTCTGTCAGGTGACTTCTCCAGCACCCTAACCCTAACAGGAAGTCAACCAACAGGAAGTACCTCTGTCAGGTGACTTCTCCAGCACCCTAACAGGAAGTAAACCAACAGGAAGTACCTCTGTCAGGGGACTTCTCCAGCACCCTAACAGGAAGTAAACCAACAGGAAGTACCTCTGTCAGGTGACTTCTCCAGCACCCTAACAGGAAGTAAACCAACAGGAAGTACCTCTGTCAGGTGACTTCTCCAGCACCCTAACCCTAACAGGAAGTCAACCAACAGGAAGTACCTCTGTCAGGGGACTTCTCCAGCACCCTAACCCTAACAGGAAGCAAACCAACAGGAAGTGCCTCTGTCAGGTGACTTCTCCAGCACCCTAACAGGAAGTAAACCAACAGGAAGTGCCTCTGTCAGGTGACTTCTCCAGCACCCTAACAGGAAGTAAACCAACAGGAAGTACCTCTGTCAGGTGACTTCTCCAGCACCCTAACAGGAAGTCAACCAACAGGAAGTACCTCTGTCAGGTGACTTCTCCAGCACCCTAACAGGAAGTAAACTATCAGGAAGTACCTCTGTCAGGTGACTTCTCCAGCACCCTAACAGGAAGTAAACCAACAGGAAGTACCTCTGTCAGGTGACTTCTCCAGCACCCTAACAGGAAGTAAACCAACAGGAAGTACCTCTGTCAGGTGACTTCTCCAGCACCATGGTGGTTGGCCTCCCGTACTCAAAGGTCACCACGACGTCGTCCACCAGCTCCAGGCTCTTGTTCCAGGACAGAGTGATGTTGGCTAATAGCGGCTCAGGAAACCTGGACCATGTGACTGTCTGCCAATAGGTGACGAGCCCCCCCCGCTCCCTGTCTCCCATCAGCTGGGGTGGGTGAGACAGGTCCGGGCTGGAGGCGTCACACTCATCACT